GATCCGGCGCATCACCCGAAAATTCCGTGACCATTTAGACCGGCGGTAAGGACAGATACCCGCTGCTGGCCGGCCGAGCTAAGACTCCAATAGAGAACTCCGTACAACGACCACAGCTTACCTCAGGTAGAGCTATAAGTAATTTAAGCTCTACAATGCTACCGAGCAGAATCCTTAACCTTGATGAGACTATTGTGCTGCCTGTAAAAGGCTGTCCTTGGCATCTTCGAAGTCAAAAATGAACTTCGTACGGCGATCAATCTAGGATTCCGTCGGTATTAGCGCGCCATCCAAAAACCTTCAGTCCGCTCATGCCTTATGGGCTGATTGACTTACAGTGTCTTCTCTGCTCTGTCTCATGCGATCAATTGGGCCGTCGAGCTTCTTGATCTCCTCAAGGGCCTTATCAGCTGGTGCTGCCTTGATGCCATCCCTGATTTCCTTCAGGGTGTCAATGTTCTTCTGCCAGCCTTCACCCTACACGTAGCCCGTCGTATTAGTGTGGCTGCTGGCAAACCAGGAATTCTATCACCTGCAGACTGGCTGTAGACTTACCTTGTTCTCCTGCTTTTCGTCCTTGGCCTTTTGGAAACCATCAATCAAATCACTCAGTTTCCGAACCTCGCCGTCGATTTTGCCCTGGTCGAATCGCTTGCTGAGTGAGGCTTCTCCGATTGGGCTGGCGGCGGCCACTCCCATGAGCGCAGCAACAAGGGGATAGGAAAACTTCATTTTGAAATTGATGGGTAAAGTTTGTAATAGTACCTTTATAATAGAGAGATGGAGGAGGTGGTAGGGTAATTGTGTGTTGACTTACAGGAGCTTCTTGGGGTTTTGGGCTGCTTTATATCCTTCGAAGAGCTCTTTGAAAGACTCGGGTTTTGGTTAAAGCTGGCAGAGACTAAAGCTCAAGCAAGATACAGTGCAAACTTCATCGTTGCAAATGGCTTGGGCTGGCAACATAGTTTTGCGCGGGTCATTTCCAAACACATACAAACCCGTTTTGCTGGAACCAGGGGCGAAACTGCGGCGAAGGAGTATGTCCGAAACTCATTTTGGTGTGCTGATATCACTCGCGTATTTCTACTATGAAATCTAGTGCCCACCTTGCCCCTGGTAGGAACTATTACTCTTGATTAACCCACGAGCAAGCAACAGGTTGGTTTATGGAGCCAGCGAACGCATTATTTCTGGAAGTTTCATGGTTACCCGGGATTCCATTTGAGTTGGTCATAGCGTATTCGCTTCCGCCTGATTCGGTATTCCGTGGGCAGTCCTTATTCTTGTTCCTTGGCAATCTCCTGTGCATCGTGCGCTAATCGAGCCAGGCACATCTTACCTTGCTTACCGTACCTTAGCTTCAATGTTACCTCATAATAGAGTTTACCATCATCTGCGAGCGACCCATCCAACAGAAACTGCACTTCTGTTTCTAAAAGGCTTCTTTGCCCCACTGCCGATTCCGTTTTGGTGCTCGG